GTTTAAAAGTCTGTGAATTTGGGAACTCAGCAGAGGAGTTCCTCTAGCCTGCAGGGAAAGCTAACAAACTCTCTGGTACATAGCAGAAAAAGCTGGACTGCTCTGTTAAAAATTGTGCCTGACACAGCAGCGTTGGTGGAGAAACCACCCACGAGTTATTCTGTAATTACACTTGGTAAAATCAGCTACATTAGCCCATCTTCTTTCACGTCAATTCTTCAATCTCAGGTCTCTAATAAAAAGGAAAAATTCCTTATTTATTAGCAAGCTATACTACAAACGGAAGCAAGAGACCTTGTCATCTCCTTATTCCCTGGCTGAGCCACATGTAGCATAAACATCTCTAGAGAAAGCTCTGGGGAAAAGCCAGGCTTTTTAAATGCACACTTTCTTTTAAAAGACAATTCATTTTACTATTTGGTCCACGCTGTCTTGATGTGGGTCAGACTGTAAATGACACAATTTGGTTGCCACTGTGCTAACCTCTGCATTCCTCTAACTCTGAGGGAGAAAGTCTCTTCTTCCTTTCTCACCTGACTTCAAATGGAAGTTTCATGAATGCTGTGAATTTAGCTTGCAGTTTTATAATTGTGGTTTTATTTGAATTGCCGCAAAAATGTTGGGTGAGATTAAACGCAGGCTTCTCCTTTTGAAGAGGTCTAAGCTTAATATGACTTTTACACCCTCTTCTCTTACTAAATGATAATTTTTTTCTCCTTTGACTCTAGTTGCAACTCCAGCTCCAAAACTCTGGATGTGAGAGCCTTCCCCTGGTACTGTGCTGTGTGATATTTATGCATAAAGTTTTGCTAATTGCTGATTCCATCGGCATTCATGAACCTTTGCTGGAATGAATGAAGCTTTCATTCATGTTTATATATGAGTTTCCACATTTGTATGTTTGTAATCATCATGCTAAAACCAGCTTTCATTTGCAGAGACATAAGCTGAGGGTAACTGAGTCAGGAGATGTAACTCTGTTATGTAAATGGAGAGATTATTTTCCAGTATCATTGAGAGCTGAGTTTATCACAGAAACTTTATCACAGAATTTCTGCAGCTCAATGAAGTTTGTTCACCACTGATAACTATGGTTGCACTAACAAGCAGTTTAGATCAATAGAAGTCCATTTCTGGATCTCGTTTTTGCTGGGCACCTGACATAGGCACTTGCTGCAGGTCTGTGGAAGGTTCAGATAAACTCTGAAGTTTTCTCCCATGCAGTAATGCTCTGTTACTGCTGCAACTCACCTTCCAGGCTAGTCCTGTCCAAAGGGAATCCAGGCCAGGACCTGCAGTGCCCTTCCTGATAGGAACCTGCACTCAGCAAGCAGACAAGAGCTGAGGGTTGCCTGAAAAGCACCCAGCTGATCTAACTAATGAACACACTGACAGAGACACACCCTATGTGCAAATTACAGAGATTTATCCAATTATAATATCTCTGTGGCAATCCCGAGCCATCAACGATTTTCCCAGCCATATAATTGCTATTATTAACAACACAAATTCCCAATTTAACAAATGGAAGCAAGATAAACGTCCACATCATCCTGGCTTCTCCCAGCTTTGTGATTCACAGTGTAGCAATGTGTTGCCCTTGGTCTTTTGGAAATAGTGCCGGTGTGAGAATTTTAATGACAATGCAGCACTATTTCTGGCCTGTTCTGGATATCTGAGGGCTGTGATCTCTATCATGGAGGAGGTTCTGATGGTTAAGCTAACTGGGTCTATCATGCCCCAAGGACTTGTAGCTTATTTACTTCCACTCAACTGCCCATGTACATCCTCCCTCCTTACACTTTGTATTAGGTTATCCAGAACAGAGACCCAAAATCAAGGAGGACACTTAAACAGTCTGGAATCAGCAGGGAGAGGAACCAAGAAGGTTTCTGACCAGGGGAGAGGGTAGGTGGAAGGAAGAGATGAAGTGCTACATTATTTAGATTTTCTGAGTCCTTTAGCATCACTGCTTTGTAGCAAATGGCTGCAATAGCTTTCCTCTCCAGTTCTCTACTCTCTTTTGGCATTTGCTCTGATTTCCATGCCTCCAGAATGGGAAACCAGGCTTCCTGCCTCCCTGTATTCAGAAGTTTTGTCCATCCTTTTTTCATGTCTTGCCATGCTTTTATTCCCATCACCTGCATGCATAGCCCTTTCATTATTATCCTTTATCCTCCTGTGCAACTGTTAGCCCATTATTGCTCCTCAGCTGCTTCATAAGAATTACTTAAGTACATGCTTCGAATCTCACTTGTCCCAGAAGTAAGTACAGATTATGTCAAGTAAAACTACTTACCCTTAGATATCAGACAGAGCCCCAGACAGACAAGGCCAAGACAGAGAAGGATGACAGTGCCTTAAAAACATTGTAATTACTTGCATTCAATAAGCCTGGCATTTTCCCAGAGCTGTCGCTGGGGATGTTTGTGCTATGTATGGCTCAGCCAGGCAACAAGGAGAGGACAAGGTCTTTTGCTCCCTGTTGCTGTCTAACCTGATAAAAAGCAAGGAGATTTTCTTCATTCTAAGGAATCTGAGATCAAGATACCAAACTGATGGCATCCACTCATATTGTTTGTCCATAACAGTTATATTGTCCCAATCCTTGACCACACTGGCTGCCAAAAATACTATTTTGAGTAATTGTCTTTCAAGAGTCTGATGTTCCTGATGGGAGCGGTTTCTGTAAAGCCATGTTTTCATATGGCCATGAAAAATGCTCAAAGAAAAAGCAGGGGAAAAGGGTCAACAACAACAGACAACAATGTTTTCATGCAGTGAGTAAACAGATCTTGAACTGTAGCTTTTGAAAAGGTAATACTCTTGCACAGCCCTGTCTTGGTGCTTTGGTTTGGATACAAGAATCATATAGCCAACCAAGGACACTTAGCCACAGTATATACACACACATCCTATTAAAAGCAAAGTGCAGATTTATTGATAAAAAGTAACACAGAAGTGCCTCTCAGCTCTGAACAAGTCTACAATTTGTATTTACGAGTGCACTTGTAAATACAAATTTCCCTCAATCAGTGAGAAATTCCAAAAAGACAATACTCTTCCAATTTATTTTTAGGCTAAACCTATCGAGGCTTGAGATTACTTAAGCCTCAGTTAAAATAATTACAAGGAGGAATAACTTCAGTCAAGTTTAAATAATCTTTCAGCTTCCTCAAACTGAAATCTGTGTCTTAAGAGTTTATAACTGAGGGCTATAACTGACTTTACTTAGAAAAAACAAGAAAGACTGGAGTGCTAGAAAAGCCTGTGATCACACAGAGGGAGAAAATAACATGGACCCTGGTTTATTCAGATTCATGCAAGTCACATGACATTATTAATTCCAACTGGTCTTGGTCTCTGCACAGAAACTTCCAGCAAAAGACTTTAATGATGTAATGATTACCTTTTTCCTTTCGTGATCCTTCTAACTATGCCTTAATTTATGATGCTTTTAACTAGCATACATGTATCCTGGGGCTATAATGGATGCACATTTAAGTAAAAAGATAAAACATAATGAAAGGGGTTTTTAACACAATAATTAACATGTATTTTGATCATCATAACAGTAATTATTAGAGGCACAAAAACAGAATCGGATCTCAGAAGAAGCTATGAAGATCCTAAATAGGTTGGACTAGCAACACTGCCCTATTACTTTGCCAAGAAATTATGCGTCAAAGTGGCAGGAATGAATCATCATGCACCATTAGGAACTACACCCAGTGACACCCAGGGACAAAAATGTGAGCTGCACTAACCTCCACCATAAACTGCAAATTGCAATCACAGAGCAGGTAGTGTGGAACCTGCCTTTTCCCTTAGTTATCAAGCTATTCTGTCCTAATACCTCTACAAATATGATAGATCATCAGCTAAAGGAGATAAGAGAAGAACCCCAGAAAGGTAGGAATTTAGGCTTGATATGAGAGGTCCATTTACACTTAAGAAAATGGTTTTACTTTGCGAAGTATTATAAGCTCTTAACATGTGTCAAATGACCCAGTCAAGCAGCCTTGATCTTTCAAAAACCTGTTAGCTCCTAAAACAAGCAAAGTGAAAGAGCACACACTGTTGTATTTGCAGGGACCCCCGTGGCAGGGAGGAATGATGCATCTGACTCCATGTCCTCAGAAGGCTAATTTATTACTTTATAAAACTATATTATATTAAAGAATACTATACTATACTATACTATACTAAAGAATACAGAAAGCATACTTACTGAATACTAAAAAGATAATAATGAAAACTCGTCACTCTTTCCAGAGTCTCAACACAGCTTGGCCCTGATTGGCCAGTAAGTTAAAACAACTCACACCAGAGTCCAATGAAACAATCACCTCTGGGTAAACAATCTCCAAACACAATCCATACAAGCAAAACACAGGAGAAGCAAATGAGATAAGAATTGTTTTCTTTTTCTCTGAGGTTTCTCAGCTTCCCAGGAGAAAATTCCTTGCCGAAGGAATTTTTTCAGAGAATGTGAATGCCACACACACACTCTTACCTGCTGTCATCCTTCCCCTAGCAAAAATTGCTAGTATTATGACTTTTTTCTCATCTATTTAATCATACACATATATAGGCAGACTGTAACTTGCAGGTAACCCTTTTTTACCACTGACAAACGGTAAAGTCAAACAAGGCTGAAGACATTCTTAAAAAAATATCCTGAGTCAGATTTATTTCAGGAATTTGGTTCATAGAATCACAGAACCATTTGGGGAAAAAAGGACCTTAAAGAGCATCTAGTTCCAAACCTCCTGCCATGGGCAGGGACACCTTCCACTAGACCAGTTTTTTCAGAGCTCCATCCAATTTGACCTTGAACACTTCCAGGAAGGAGGCATCTACAACTGCTCTGGGCAACCTGTTCCAGTGCCCCAAATTTTTTAAAAAATTTAGCAATACACAAGGGATCTCATATAAAAGGAGATGACAGCAAAAAGAGAAGAAAAATGGTTTCTGAAAGGAAATATATAATATGGTACCTTTTCCAGTCAAAGTTTCTTCTTTTATTTTCCTCACCGCTTCTTGGCCATCTCTTTCACTGTTTCCAGCTGTTAAAGGACAGAAAATGAAAAATTAGCAATGCAATCAATTTAAGGATTGGCATCTATGAAGTGCCAACCACAGTGTAAAACCAGTACGAAGTTTTAGGCGGAAAGGTGTGCTGCAGAGGTTTTCAAAGAGGGCTGCACAAATGCACTGTGATTCCCACAAGTTCTGCCAGTTTATCTCATTTATTCATATAACGTAGGACTATCTACTGGACCAGCAGACTTGAGATTTGAGCCTGTGACACGAATGAATTGTATCACATCCAGATTCTACAAAAACTTCACTATAGGTTAGAGCAGACTTCCCCTTCGTCTTTTTCCAAAATGAAGACTTCCACAGTTGGAGGAAAGTCCTGATTACCCTGTCTCAAAAGCTCATGAGACAATGTATTAGTGCTGGCATAAAATGTGATTAAGCATCACATAAATGTCTTTTGTACCATTCAGCTTAAGTGGGTGGTTAGTAATTGTCTGACATTTATTTGGCAAGTTTTTTTTATAACAGGGCAAAGGAAAATAACATAAACACAAGGGATATAGGAATTGTTAACACAAGTTAAATTTTTTAAATTAACATTCAATTCATCCATCCACAAATATTTCCCATAGCATGAAACATCAAAATACCTATGGTTTATTATCTAAATTGTATAACAATACTGATATTTCTTATGAACTTCATGTAGTTGCCTTTCTATTTTCCTAATTATAAAAAATTCTGCCGAAGTTTCTATTCAGATTTTTTTTTTTTTTTGTGCTAGCCTGCAAGTATCCTGTTCTTGCTTTCTCAGCACCACAGAATAAGATGAAGTTGGAAGAGACCTCAGGAGGTATCTTGTTCAGCCCCCTGTTCACATTAGCTGGTACATGCTTGTATTTGCTCTAAGATGCATTCTTTCAAGAATGGAGTCTTAGCTGTGCTTCTGCAGTAAAAAAGGACTCGAAACACAGCTTTGTTTTCATGATATGCAAGAAAACCCAACATTTACAAAAATGTAGCCAAAATTAATACATTTAGCATTCCAGATACTGGAGAGAAAATAATTCTCACAGAAAATCTAGAGTCATACAGGTGTACAACTCTTGTCTATAAATTTCATTAAATATGGACTTATATTGCTCAGACTGACAGAGAAGGGAGGGAGGGAGGGAGGAAGGAAGGAAGGAAGGAAGGAAGGAAGGAAGGAAGGAAGGAAGACAACAAAGCAGATATTCACAGTATTTTCTTCTTGCTGTTTTTCCCCCTTTAAAACCATCCAGCCTTGTACAGAAGAAAAACATTCAGTTGGATGCTAATTTCCAGATATAGATGCAGCATCAACAAACAAACCCTCCAGTGAAACTGCCATTTCTGGGGAAATTTGTGCACGGGGTTTATGGGCAACAGATTATTTTCCTCACTGTTTCACCTCAAGTAATGTACTAGAGTAGGATTTCAAACTCAGTGTTTTAAGCTGTATAGTGTTATGCTAGAAATAAGAATACTTATGTGCCAATTCTGTGAACATCTTATTTGATTCCTCTTTTATTCAGCACCTCTTGTGCAGAGATCAGGCTTATTAAAGCCTCCAGTGTCTTGATATAACTCTCAGTATGTTCATTTAATTTGTTCTTTTAAAAGAGCTTGTGTTCACAACAAATTTTCATTTGCTTTATTTTGCTGTTATATAAATGGTTATTCATTAAAGCTCAGTGCCTTCCAAATGAGTTCATTTTTTTCATATTTGCATATTTTTCACTCTAGACCACTGGGAAAAAAAAATTATTATTTTGCTAAACAGTCACTTCAGATGTCTGTTTCCAGCCTGATCCAACAGAGTTTGAAAACCAGACACTGAAGGCTGGAGTATTGCAAAATTGAAATATCTTCAGTGAAAACTGCCACAATAATAGAGATTCTAAAAAACCTTCTTTCAAAGAAAATCCTGTAAGAAAGAATAAAGTCATTGAACAAATGACCAAAATGCCTACAAAAAGCTCAAAGGCACTTAGATCAGAAGGATACCATGAAACTGGGAGGCTAATCTAGGCTTCTGAGTTAGGTTAAGGAGATCAGCACCCCCTTGCCAAGGGCAGGTGGGAGAGGAAAGGGATGTTGCACTTTTGCATTGCTTCCCTTCTAATGCGTCCTTCTGGCATCTTCTGAGCAAAGTGAATGGTAGGCATCAAAAAGATCAACCTCCTTTAAGTGCTAGAGTAATTATTCAAAAAAATTTTTACAATGCTTTTTAAGTCATCAAGGTAACACAGTCAGCTTTGGGTTGGGAAAAATCAAAACTAATCTGCAATCTTGATGAAGTTGGGTCACTAAAGGGCACAACCTTCAAGTGCACTGAGCAGATGAACAGCACCCTAAATTCAGGAAGGGGATGGTTTGCTAGATGAGGGTCAAATTCTTACTGCTGTTAGCTGGTTTAAATCCTCAGTATCATATTTGTCATGATTCTTTAAAAAAATTTTTGATACATAAACTAATCCTCTGGCTGGACATTTTTTCAATGATTCACCATAATTTCCATATGTTCCATATACCAGAATTTGTCCATTTCAAGTGTTATAGCATCTGTCACATAAGATCTGCCTACTCTGAATTCAAATGGTTTGAAGGGAAGGGTAAGAAAGGGAAGAGAGATCATGTATTTTATGCAGTGAGGGAATCTTAGAAAAAGCTTTGAGAAAGAGGGATTCATTGTCTTGGGAGCTTAGATCATCAAAGCACCCAAAACCATAATAATCTTGCTTTTCATGCTATTTTAAAATGTCTACTGGGAACTCAAAATAGATATAATTGTCTCAAGAACTGTTTATACAAGCAGTTCAGTGCCCTACCTGATGGGTTTTTTTTCCACTTAGTCCACAGAGAATAGTGAAGAATTTGGGTGAGACTTGTTCAATAACAACCCTGACTAAAATCAGTTCTGAAAAAACCCTAATAATATAAAAATAAATTCACTCTAAACAGATGCACCCACATAAAATCAGATATCATTTCAATGGCATAAAAAATGTAATTATTAATAAAATACTGGAAAAAAGGAAAACATATTTAAATACACCTTTTAGTCAAAGAAATGTACTCATCTCCTCCACGTTTACTTACACAAACATCACAAGTCAAAGCAAGTTGATATGAAGCCACCAGAGAAGTACATACTAAAATTCTTATCAGCACTAATAGGCTTTGGATCTTTTCCTAAATGTCAGGCTCTGTCATCTTAGTCACTTAAGTAGATCCTAACTCTGAAAGTTATTTCAGGGATTTCAACAGAATTATCACAGAGATTCTGTCTGAACAAGGCCTGAAAAAAGCACGGCCCTTAGAAAGTCAGCATGGGCTAAAAACACATTATTGCTAATTGGGGGTTCTGATACATCTATATGTATTTTTTTATACAATATTTTTAATTTCTTTTAATGTGACTATCTCTTCAAAAGTGTAGTTGCCACTCACACACTGAATTTATAGACAAGACTGATCCTGATAAAGAAAGCAAGAGCTTTTCCAAATGGTATTTTGCAAAACTAAGAATTTGCAATCTTGATGTTTCAAGGAAATGTACTTCAGGGCATTATAAAAAAATTTAAAATAGGCTGTGATCAACAATAGAGCCTGTAAAGCTTAAGGTTAACCAAGAAGATTCAGGGCAACCAGCATGTGGTGTCCAGAGAAAGACCTGACCCCGCCAGCCTGGAGCCTGAGAGCCACCTTGTGCACAAGGCACCCCTCAGCCTGCAATAAACCCACTGCAGGGACCCCTAGGGGGAAGGCAGCAGTGAGAGCTGCCCAGTGGCAGGGCAGCCGTGCTGGCACATCACCTCCAGCTCTCCCCACACACCCCAGCTGCTGACAAGTGTGACCCCCTCAGTCACCAGCGGGACTGGGGAACCTGAGATAACGCTCATCCCTTGACTTATGGAGCCATAATTACAGATCACTCACTCCGTGAAACAATGGATAACTTTCCAGGGTGTGCAGCACGCCCCATGGCCCTTCCCTCTGCCCACTGCTGACTTCGAGCAACCCAGGTTGAGAAGTGGTGCCCATAAACTCTTACGCGTTTACCAGGAAAAGCTTGGTGGTACAGTAATCAATTCTGTATAAGTGTATTCCATCTGACTGGGGAATTGCAAAGGATAATGGTTAGATGCCTTTGTGCAACAGAATACAAAAGTTTGCAAATGGATATCTGAATCAAGATGCCTCCTCAGAGCAGCATAATCCTCATTATGATTGAAGGGGAACTGATTTCTTTGAAGCACCAGCCTGAAGACAGGGCTTATGAGGGCACCCAATGCCTCAAGAGGAAAACAAAATCCTATCAGCTGGTGTTAGGAAGATTATGATTTTATGAGTGTGCACAAAAAATGGAATATGCCTAAAAGAGAGGAATAACTGCCCCCAAAATCTCAAAGGATGAGAAATTTGAACTCAATACAATATGAGCAGGTTTTTAAAGGAATTTATAAGGTTTCATTTAAAGGAATTTGTAAAATCTTCAATAACAGGAATACAGATCTTACACCTCATTTGTAAAACATTTAAGGCATGGATTTCAATAAAGCTAGGTATAAGGATGAGACCAGCTATAAAAAATAAATTGTGAACATGATACAAACTTCCTTATATCTAGAGATACCACACGTCTTTTGTCATCGAGTTCATCACACAGCAGTCACAATGAAATACATGTCTTTTTTACATGAAAGGTGAAAATATTGTTGTAAGTGTTTCTTTGAGAAAAGAAGCAAAAAATGAGCAAGGGAGAGAATGTCGATTTGCAAAGAGAAAAGAAATCATCATTATTGCCTTAGGTTTCAGCTACCAGCCTGTTCCAACAGGAGGTTAAGAAGGACCCTGTTTACAAACCCAAGATACACCTAGAAAAGTGCCCTCTTTCCAACAATAACCTGTAGCAGATACTTAAGGAAAAGACACAACAGCAATAAATCTAGGAGTGATTTTCTCCAATACACCCTCCCAGAAGCAGGAAGTTTCAGAG